TGGTATATTTAATATGGTATTTTGAGTGGAACATTTTTGAGAAAAAAATAGTTTGAAAAATATAATTTTATATAGTTATTAATATTACTACTTTTGAATATGTTTTAAATTATACACATAATATGAGAAAATTTATGAGAATTGCTTTTTAGATAGAAATTATTTTCTCACAAGAAAAGAAGGTTAGTTTTTTACCAATTTAAGAGTTAAGCGTACAAGAAGTTTTACTCTTTATATGTGATTAGGAAAATTATAACTTGAGAAAATATATATATTTTTATATGGATGTTTTAATAAAATAATAGTGTATGTATTTATTTTATATGGTACCACATGACCCTGATAGTAAGTTATATAAAATGTATTAAAAATAAGTAGAATTTTAAGTAACTTGAGATAATTCATAATTATGCGGGTAATTAGTAATTATCTAAATTATCTGAATAAAGATTTACATCTGCCAACGTGGCAACACAACAAAGCCAAATGGTGACTCTTAAAGTCACATAAAAGGTGGCAAATTTGGAGAATTTTATTTTATGGCTTAATCATCATCAATAAGTACAAAAGTCGACACCATTTTACAAGATGGGCGGTTACTTGAAGAAAATAACTTGTATATGTGCAGGATCAAGTAAAGTTGGCGTAATGGATATATAGTTTGAAAAGAAAGTTCGTACAAAAATTAGTTTACATAATCTTGTCCAGAAGTAGTTGAATTGAATGTCCTTCTCTAGCCTGGAAGAAAGGAAGAGAGATTAGCAATGAGATGGAATTGATGGGATTCATATTGGAACGTGAGATTAGAATTCAATTACAGGACTACTTTAATAATTAAAAATATCCCAAACAAGTACACTTCAAAGATGCTACTCACAGCAAATGACGAGCCTTAAGCAAAAGAATTTGTCCGAGGATAAACTACGAGACTTCTTAGAAAATTAGCAACGGGATTTTGCGATTCTAAGAGAGTACGGTGCAATCTTTTCCAAGAATATCATACGGATTTTTCCCGACTCCAGGTATATTAAGGCTAATCCTTTCTTCTTTTGGCATGATCCAAGCAACGATACATAAACGTAATGATATTCTATAAGTAGTTCTACTCTTAGCAGTTAAGGATGTCTATATTATTCATTCTCGTAAAGTGATATTCAAGCATGTCTAAGTACGTATCTAGTTCTCTATTGAGGTATTTGATAAATATGTTAATGTTCATAATACTGTAATACATGCATCTTCATGCATATGCATTTACCACTGAACTACGGCCGGTCGGGCAGTCATGCATTTACCATCGAGCTACGGCCGGTTGGGCAGTCATGCATGCATATTCATTTACCATCGTGCTACGGCCGATTGGGCAGACATGCATTTACCACCGGGCTACGACCGGTCGGACAGTTACCACCGGTTTGGCAGTTATGTATCATTATTTACCACCGGTTGGGCAGTCATATATTTACCACCGTGCGACAGCCAGTCGGGCAGTTACCACTGATCAGTTGGGCAGTCATGCATTATACATATGGATAATAGTCTCAAAGAAAAGCATTATATATGTATATATGTAAGTATAATAAGTATGCATATACGGTGACATTTCAGAGATTCAGGTTGATTCTTATATGTATTTAATCGATGTTGACTTATTGTTATGTTTCAGTTCTGCCTTACATACTCAATACATTATTCGTACTGACGTCCTTTTGTTGGGGACGCTGCATTCATGCCTACAGGTATAGATAGTCAGTTTGACAAGCCCTCATAGTAGATAAGATTGACATTCAGCGGAGGATCGATAAGACTCCACCTCATTCGAAGTGCAGCCGAGTCTATAAGTTATCGTGTCAGATTTTTGCTAAATATGTATGGGTAAGTCGGTGCCCTGTCCTGTTTGATGTCTAATACTATTAGAGGCTTTGTAGACAGAGGTTCATTTTGTATAGTATGTTAGAGGCTGATCACGCCTAACTCTAGTCCTAAAAAGGATAAGCGGTCGCTGCAAATATAATCCGGTTTAAAAGTCCGGAGTCGAATCCCACAAAGAACTAAGGCTTAGCTATATTTGTTTAATATCACTAAAAAGACAAGTTGAACAATTTTCTAAATTATAAAGATTGAGATTTATATTTCTAACTAATTAACTAGCAAATACTAGAAAACGGTAAAATTATCAACTAACTAGACTAAGGGTTGGAGACTAAATTAAGGAGGTCTAGAGTTATGATTTCCCCAATTGTCGGAATCCTTCTAGCTATGTTCCCTACAATTTTGCCAATGTATTCTCTATTGATCGTGAGCACTTTAGGTGTCGTAATTCTCTCTCGAGCAACTACAACAATTTACTAGACATATTCTCTCGAACTACGCTAGTTGGCTTTATCTAACCGCTCATTATGACCACGTCAAGGCTTTGTTATTTCTAAACCTGCCTTTAAACCCACTGTATTGATTTCTCACATACGTTAGGAGTGACATTGTTCAACAACTACCTAAATATGTACTTTCTCTCGAGCACTACACACTAAATAGGCACAGTCAATTGATGGACATTCAATCAACAACAACAACACGTAGTTGAACAAGTAGAGAAATCCAACGGCTCAATTATATAAAAACATAACAAGAATTTATCCTACAAAAGGTTCTATCAAACCCCAGATAACAAATTAGTAATTCATAATAGTATGTAAAACTACAATACTAAAAGTC